TACTTATTGAATGGACAAGATCATATGAAACGATAGAGCAATCGCTCTGTACATGGAAGTATCCGGGCCGATGAGGTCAAAGGATGTCCAGACATCTTGAAATGATGTTTGAACAACTTGAATTGCAAAAGGTTTGCAAAAAATGGTGGAAATTTTGATAGAATTTGGTTTGTTGCGGTATCTTGGATACCTGATCTAGCAATGAAAAAGGGTTTAGTGAGTCGGATGGTTAAGCCTCCCTGGTGCTTTGAACTTTGAACATCCATTTAATATCACCATAACAAATTGAACTAATTGATGTGCTGATCACGTTATTGATTGTCAAATGATAGTACAGTTTTTGAACATAATGCGAGTTTTATGCTGCTCCATGACTTTCATTTTCTCCTCAAGAGATACCATTCTATCCGCAGAAAGAACTTTTCATAACTTGTTTAATACCGCGTTGAGTTTTCGTCGCACGTTTACTAAAGATTCGCAGTCCGTTGTGTTTGCTAAAGGTGAAGGTGGTACTGGGTTGCTGGGTGGGCATTGGTTGTCGCTGACCGACTTTGGGGTTCAGTTAGATCGCAAATCCGTTCACATCAACATATACCATACCATAACAACATATATCCTACCATACCAACATATACCAATTATTGTAAATATTTGGAGTTCATTTCACTGCTAAAGACTGTGGTAAATCCGTTCAACTTGTTCATTTCTAATCCCTGATAATAAGATCTACTTCACGATAACAACGCACCTCAACTTTGCTGATGATACCCAACAGAAACGTAAAAACCCGATACCTCGTCATTTTCATACCACCAAGTTTCAGGTTTCATCTTACGGTATGGTACTGACAAAGCACGATCTCAACGGTCGTACAAGAGATAGGGAAAGAGTAAGAAAGAGATTAGAGGTAAAAACAAGATTTCGACCCAGATTGTTGTGAGGACAAACTAACCGTCTTCCTTGATCTGAAGAACTTTAGATACAGCCTGATTGATGATCATGATAACCCGTTCGCCTGTGGTGAGCTTTTGAACATTTTGATTGTTAATTACGCTCGGTTTTTTTTCTCTCCGGGACTGTGTCAACTGGTACTCGACTAGTGCAAAATCAAAGAAAGTTTGAAGAAATCGAATAGTTGGTAGATGTAAGGGCTATATCAAACGTGCGATGACACACTAAGGAGAGAAAAAACTTAAACTGTGGTTGTGTTAATGGCAAGGTATAGATCGTCTGTATATGTAATGAATGACAGCTAGTCGATGTGTTTTGATCGTTTTTGATCAGGCACATAATTAAATATATGCAGAGATTCCGTGATATACGAAGAAAATGAAGTTTGAACTGTAAAATCAGGTTTATGTTTTATAGGAATATATGCGTCTAAACAACAAGATAGAAAACAGGTCGCTTCGTGACACTTACTCTCAGTCATTCAGCCAATCGAGACGCATGCGCCAACTGGATTAGTTGGAATCCCAATTATCTTTTAGGCTTTATGGATTATGCACAGAACAGTGTACATCATTTTCTTGCTATGCCAAGGTAAACGGCGTGAACAACGAAAAATCTCTAAGGCTTCACAAAGGAATTCCTTACATCACCCGGTACGAATTTTACAGTGTAAGACAGTCACCAAAACAAAACTTTTGTATCTGACTACTCCTAAATTATTGTGAACCACACCATATGATTTGAAGGATTGCGGAAACAGACCATTGATAAAACAAAAATCTGAGATGTGCAAGAGAATGTGGGAATCGGTAAATGGATGAGTTTACATTTAATTTTGCCGCATAATAGAACAACTGCGAGGTTTTCTCCATACTTCAGTGCCAATGTAAACACTGAAGAAAAGTCAGAATATCCACAGTAACCAGAACGGTCATTTTAATCCGTTATTTTGATCAACGGTTAGCAATATATTATGTCATCTATAATGTTCCAAATCAGTCTTCCCTCTAGGTCACCTAACGAACGAAACAACAACTGCGCTTCTATAAGTTACGGAGCTGGAACTAACATTTTAGTATAAATAAATTCTTCAGAATCAACTATCCGTAAATCTTGCCGCAGCAGCATCTCCCTAAAATGGTAAGCTGGTGGATCAAGTATCTTTCTTGACGTTCAAACACCATAAAGTGAGCAAACAGAATGAACCACAACCACCACTAGTGTTTTGCTATCGTAGTAAGATGAAATCTTATTTCACTTTACTTCATCTCGCAGCCACTTGTATACTGAACCAGATTGTGCAAAACTATGAATAAACATAACCACAGAGAATTCACATTCTATTCCGGACCAGTTATTCAGTTGACACAATAATCGGTTAAACATCTAGTTCCCTTGATGAGTTTCATAAGAGCGAGAACATGCATCATTACAGAACCGGATTGTATTCAACTGTTTCGCGTTATCTCCTCAGCTGTGTACAAACATTCATGTTCATTCTGACTAGTCCATCAGATGTGCAATCAAATCATTGAGTTCGTTCTGGACAGAGCAAAAGAATTCTGCAGGTGTTTCGACCTGGTTGGACGTAGTCAGCATTAAAAATCTGTCGGCTCAACTGTGGATTGAATGTTGGACCTCTCAGGTAGAACGCATGTACACTGCGGACTTTTCTACCGGATAGCTGATAAGACAGGTTCACTTTGTGCATATTTGATACAGAGCTGTGTGCAATATGTAGCATACAAATTACTGTACAAAATTTATGAAAAGCAAACAGCCAGTATCGAGATTTCTGCCATTCATCAGGCATGCGAAGCCGATACACCTTATTAGAACCACATTGACAATCGACCATAGTATCGATTTCACTAAACACAAAATACTGTTGTAGAATCATGTTCGGAGTTAGGTTGTCTCGAAATAAATACTTGAGACAAGGAAGTGGTTCACGTTACTGAATGTAAACATATAAATACGTGTTACTCGGATAAAATGAGATCAAACTTCAGGGATCCCAGTGGATTGAATAAAAACCTTATTTGCTCGTGAATTTTATCATGGTACTTTCAGTTTTAATCCTCAGTTATGTTATGTTTTTCTCATTTTTATCCGGATTACATGAGTGTGTATTCCGCCTCATTCGCTGTTGATTTTGTTTGTACACTGTTTGACCTTATTTTCGGTGCCCCACTGACTGCGATAACATGCTAACTGAATGATCCGTGTTCAAGTGACTCGTGCAAAGTAAGAACCGGAATGTGATAATTTAGAACTGCTATACGGAAATCAATTTCCGAATTCATCCCCTTCTCATGTGCTAGGGATTTATTTCTGAATAAATCACAACTATTGGCAGTGTCCTCAAATCAAATGATTACTTGCCCGGAAGAAATATTGAATTAATCGTCTAGATGGAAATTCTCGTTTCTTTATCTTTCTGATTCGCGTAAGAAAGTAGTAAACACTAAACCGCTTTCCAATCATTTTGGTAGATTCTATATTGTACATAATCAACTTTTACGACTAACTTATCAGATGATAAGACTATGACAATATCGATCATGAGAAGGTTAAGGGATCTGATTTAATTATATGACGAATCGATCCTGTAATTGAGGTATAACTTGAAAAACTAGAAAGCACCGGACAAGTGTCTCTACTTGATTTAGTTTCATCGCATATATTCCAAACGAGAAGCGGCTTGCTCAGCTGCCCGGTGGCCAAAATGGGTAGTAGGCTTACATTCTACCTGTGAGATCCCGGGTTCGATCCCCAGTTAGGTCGATGGGTGTGCGCTGGTGGTCATGGAAGACCGAGCGATCTTACGAATTGTTTTTGCGAACACAGGGGGAGGGTGATTATGTAGGCGGATTCCGATCGCTTCCGTGGTGGCCAGAATGCGACTCCTAATCCTCTTAGATCGACAGTTGCGAACTAAGTAGAGGGGTCAAAACACCTCGGCCACATTAACCACGTGATTTGATTACACTGGGTATGAAATGATCGAGCTGTTGATGGTCTCTTCCAACGCCCAAGTTCTACACCGTCCTACTGCAATTCACGAAAATCGACAGAGTTTTCATGGAAAAAAGGGAAAAGTATATAGGATATGAATTGGACAATAATGAAGAAAATAAAAGCTTTGAAAGAGAAAAATGTTTGGCGGTCTTGCGATCCGAATGTGTCGCAACTCAACATCCAATCTGCTTTTCTGTCATGTGAACTCTTAGAATGCTTGTATGTGCTAACACAATACTACTCACCAACAATGCGAATAGACCCCTATGGCATATTGACATATGCTGTGGATCAGGACGGATTGGAAAATCAAGCTTCTATGGCAAACGGTGTGCTAGGGGAAGCTGGTATGACTAAATTAAATGCCAAACTATCACCCAAACTCAAAGCTATGCTACCCGGTAATAGAACGGATTTGGAAGCATATGATCTCTTGTCCCTTAATAAACACAACTGCAGGAGACAAAAGATGAAAGCTCATCGGACAGAATATGCAGATGTGCAACAAACTGTCGAACCCACTGCACAAATAACAAACTGACTAACGCTCAGCGTGTAACAGTAATCTCATTGCCAAAAATGGTTGCACACATGTATGATTATGATATAGTCTCTATTCGATCCGTTTACCTCGAGTTGTTTCGTCGACTGATCCACCGAGGGGGTTTCAGAAGTATGTATGCTTATAAAAATATTGGAGTTTACCGGATTAGGCGAGCCGAACAAAATGTAGCACTTAATCTGAAAACGTATCCGTTTCTCTTAAAAATCAAGAATTCTTGTGTATATACGTGTGAATGCGCTAGCACGTTCTGTTACGCAAAAATCTAATTTGTCACACTAAAAATACATCTCTTAGTGTTGTCAAAAGGATGTGTATTGTTTTACTGGATCGTGTTTGAAATACAATGGAAAGTACAGTGAAAACGTTCCAGTTGCTAAAACGTTGCGACTTGATAGGAAAGCGTGCTGGTTTGCTCGGGAGTAAAGATTCGCCAGGCATGTCACAGTCACACCTATAGTTTGTGTCAGATAAGTGTGGGATCACCAGACACATGTGAGTGATTGGATGTGTCCGGTGGAGAACGAGCTCTTCTCGCTGATCCGTAACTGTTATGACCATTGTTGACTGATCCTCGTGTTCTCTGTGAACTAACCGGGGCCAAAGGATGTGTTCCCATCTCCGATTCCATTTCGTCACTGCCGCTAGCTAAGTAGGACTGATCTAGTTCCAATTCAGCTTCTTCTTCCCCGGATCGAATTGGTGATAAATGGGAATCCATAGGTCGAACCACATCTCCGTCCGTATCCCATCGTTTCCTACTACGAACTGATTCCTGGGCGGCTTCTGAAACAATGTAAGAGTGTACGCTTTACGGTTAATTTAAAATAGTAATAATGATGGGAAAATGTCATATTCATAAACGGACACAACTGCGTAAAGTAAATTTCTCCTTGTGCTTCGCGCTGATATAGTGACAATTCTCGACTACGATCGAGAATTAATTTTCTGATCACAATACATCAATTAATTGTGTGACAAAGAAAAACAGATCAAAACACTGACATCGATAACAGACCCATCGCAATGTTATTTTTCCCTTAAAACTTGCCGTACAGATGATACGATCTCCGTACAGCATTCTGGTAATCCACTCTATTTGTCTGCCTCAAACGTGATCCAGTCGACATGATTAACAATCAATCGCGATCATACGCGCATGCCCCTTATCCGACAGACGTGCCTTGTTGTGATATTCGGAAATTAGTTCACACGCAGGCTAAGCAACAAGTTTACCCAACCGGCTTCAATAGATGAGGTGTTAAACCACCAACACACTCCCGTCCCACCCACCCATCCCCCACTGTGGAAAAACTGATTATTATTTCGCTTACCTGTGTGATTTTATGCTTTTCTTTGTTCATCTACATCAACTTTAAATTGCAACGGACACAGAGTGGGAACCACTAGGTGATTGAGTGCAGACCAACTGCTTCGCTCAGGTTGGTACAGACGCCTCAACCACATTTGCCACCAGTACTAATAATAACACTAATACTATGAAAAATACTAGTAGTGGTATTGATAAAAATACCAGTAACTAAAAAGGAGAATAGAGATGTGAATCTATTCTCCATTCTGTCTCAGTATTGGGAGGAATGAACAAATATTAAACACCGGATAGAGGAATAGTCAATGGTTACAGACTAAGACTATTGAGCGTTTCTATCAGAGAAGTTCATAGACCAGTTAGAACTACCATTTGCAGCTGCGCTGCGTGAAAACAAAAGAAAGGAAGAATTCAAATATCTGTTATAGTGAGGCGGGAGTATTTCTGCTCCTGTAATAAATCAGACTGTTGATCATTATTCGAAAATACAGAGGTAGTTCCCAAAAGTAATCGCTTCAAATCCATAGATTCGTTCAATACATTCAATAAGCACCGATGAAAAATTACCATTAAATGAAATCAAACAAATAACCCGAACAATCTAGTGTGATGGAAACGAAAAACTTGATCTCAGGACTTTGTTATATTCCCAATGCGATACGTCTACCAATAGTATCTACCACTGAAATTGGTTGACAGTGTCAGGGTTCAAACCTCACATCTACCTGATCCATTCACCACTTGACTACAACCGTCACGCTCGACGGAATGGAATTTACCAAGCTTTTAATAAGATTTATAATCAAGTATTCCAGAAAGAAATTTAATTTTCCATTAGACATTACAAATTCAGTAGGAGTGGGAATAAATCTTTACATCTAAATTCAATTGTCCGCTTGTGGCTGAGACCTCTTGATTAAACTGTGGTTAGCTGCACTAATTTCTACCATTTTATCTTTCTCCCTGGACCTACAGCCAAAAATGTATAGAAACCTGGTCGCGAACTTCACTCCCTATGCGCAAAAGACAATTTTCATCAGGTTACCGATTCCCAAAAGCTACTTATCGACATGTTTATCTTTTTATCGCCCATCGGAAGAGAATGCTTGTATAAATACAACAGTAATAATAATAATAATCTAATATATGAGGAGATAACTTGGATCTCATTTCTGACTTCTGCTATCTGTACTTTAACAAAATTCCGTCTCTTGTAGATTATGGCGCAATGGAATTTAAATGAGAGGAATGGGGGATTTGATTCGATTTGATTAGATGATGAACTCATCGTATGAATGAGGCATGAGCTGAAAAGCTTTCCAGTGATGAAATTCGACAAACGACAGAGTCCTTATTATAAATATTCAACTTTAGCTGACGAGAAT